TTATTATTATTATTATTATTATTATTATTATTATTATTATTATTATTATGCAATTGTTATTATTATGCAATTATTATTATTATTCACAAAAAATGGTGGTGTACACAGCAAATGAGATGATTATGCTAGGTTTCATATCACAAATCACTAATCGAACACTTTCCAAGCGTTTAGGACATTTTTTTCCCCAAGCGTTTAGGATTATTATTATTATTATTATTATTATTATTATTATTATTATTATTATTCACAAAAATGACAGTATACACAGCAAACAAGATAATTATGCTGGGTTTCATATCACAAATCACTAGTTGAACACTTCCCAAGTATTAGGACTGTGTGATGTATCGGCGGATTATTATTATTATTATTATTATTATTATTATTATTTTTATTATTATTATAGCTCTCCAGCTATGACATCCTTCCCAATTATGGCATTGTGACTTTTGCCACCGAAAGCAGAATGGTTCTGCGTACAACTCATCCACAGAGTAGCGATGCTGACTGGGTGTCTGAACGGCTGGGCTCCATTAGCATCGATGGTGAGCATGTTGGTTGTAAAACAAGAAATGCAAATACAGTTAGTCCTCAACTTACGACTGCAATGGAGCCCAACATTTCTGTTGTTAAGCAAAAGATTTGTTAATGAGTTGAATGAGTTTCGCCCCATTTTGCAACTTTGCTTGCCACAGTTGTTAAGTGAATCACGGAAGTTCTTAAGTTAGTTATCAGGTCGTTAAGTGAATCAGGCTTCCCCGTTGACTTTGCTTGTGAGAAGGTCGCAAAAGGGGATCACGTGGCCCCCAGGACATTGCAACCGTCATAAATATGAGTCAGTTGCCAAGGTTTTCCTTCCTCACATTATCATGGGGATGCTGGGATGGTCAATAAGCATGAAAAATGATCCTAAGTCACATTTTTCAGTGCTATTGTAACTTTGAACAGTCACTAAATGAACTATTGTAAGTCGAGGACTAACTGTATATATTTGTGCAGTGGCAGGCAAGCCTTGGAACTTTTGCCGTACGGCTGCCAAGGGCTTTTCTTTCAGGTATGAGGGCAACAACAAAAAATATTTAATTTATTCATTTTAATCAGCTTCACACTGAAGTCCTATGTGAACCATATAAAGGTCATTTATTGACATTTATTACCATTGTATTTGTGGATAGTTGCTAGCCAAGATAATCCCAGAGGTGGTGTTTTTTTTCAAAAGACAACTGGGCTTTGAAAAACTTTCTGTTTTTTCTTTGAAGATGTTTCACTTCTCATCCAAGAAGCTTCTTTAGTTCTAACTGAGTGGTGGAGGATAGGAAATAAATACATTCCTTGCAGTAATTGGTCGTTAGCACTCTCTCTGAGAGTCGTTGAGGCCGCTTGGATGTTTATCTGTGTCCTCAGGGTCACCTGAATAGTGCAAAGCATTTCCTGGAAATGCTAAAAGGACTTTGTTGTAAACAGAAGAGTTTAGCTGTTCCAAGGAATTTCCACACCCATTTGCACTCTTAAGGTGACCCTGAAGGCTCAATTAAACCTCCAAGTGGCCTCAATGACTCTTAGAAAGAGTACAAGGGATATAACTATAAATCCTTCCATTCTCCACTATTCAGTCAGAACTGAAGAAGCTTCTGGGATGAGAAGCGAAATGTTTTCAAGGAAAAACAAAGTCCAGTTGCCTTTTGAAAAAAAAAAAAACAACCTTTGGGACAGCCATGATCTGGATGACTGAGAATCCCCATGGACAACTAATCAAGACAATTGCTAAATAGGAGCAGCTATATATCTCACGACAGTCTGTAATGGACTCATCAGGATTGAATTCCTGTTAGCTATAGAGATGTTTTTTTGTTTCTTCTCTTGTTCCAAATACAGAAAAAATATTTGCAGCTCAGGGTTGAAAGGAAAGGTCTTTGGTGCTCTCGGATGAGCATAGATTAACATCAGAACAACAATTAAGAAGTTGTAGAAAATTACCCCCTTCTCACCCCTTCTAGAAGAATGAAAGATTTTAGGAAATATTAAACAGGCAAAAATATTATATTTCTCCTAAAAGAGAAAGAGAAATCTTAAGAGAAACTCAGACCCACAATTCCCTACCCCCAACCAGATACTAAACTGAGGCCAGCTTTTACAAATGCAGATTTGGTAATCCATTCAAGACAGGATATTTTGAACAGAGGCAGAATTAGGTAGAATGGTAGGATCAGCCCTCACTCAAGATCCAAACCAGGAAAGCCATTAAGACATAACCAATAGAATGCATGCTCTTGCCACAGGAACAGGAAGTTCAAGTTCAAAGCCCAGAGAGAGTATAAATAACCCCCACTCTCCACTCCATATGGTCAGCTGCACGAGGACCTCAAACCCATGTGGTCCTTCCTGTTCATCAATAAACCATCTTTCCAATCAGCCTCCGTGTTTCCAGTGTTTTTCTCCCCACTTGGAAGTGAACCAAGTTGGTATTTCCCTCCAACAAAGTTGTTAAGGTACTGAAGATTTAATAGCTGACCGGCTGTTGCAAGGCTGCTGTAAATGCTGACGCAATGAGGAGGAGTCAGCAGGATTATTGGTGCTTTAAGACTGAGGATGGGTCAGCTGGGTTATTGCCACTTTAAGAAGCTATGACCTCACTTTAAGTGAGGCCATGAGAGGGCGTCTCTCTCTCTCTCTCTCTCTCTCTCTCTCTCTCTCTCTCTCTCTCTCTCTCTCTTCTGGTGTTCTATCTCCGTTATAGTTCTCTGTGCAGAGTAATGAAGACTGATTGCTTGCCTGGTATGTGCCTACCAGGTATATGTATGTATATAGCAGTCTTGTATATAAACCATTGTTAAAAGACAAAGCCTCTGTGTGCTGTGTTGCACTCCTGGGTTGACTCACAATAGCAGTCACGCTGCAGACACTCTGACAAAAGTAAACAATAACCCAATCAAGAAACTGCCAGAGAAGCCAACAGGAAACAGCCCAGCCAAAGAACCTCTAAGACCAACCCCACTACCACTGGCAGGGCAAGGCATTGGAATATAAACTAAGAGAAAATCTCACTCCTCACGAGCACTGGTGGCGTTATCTGGTGTGGTAACGGAATGTCTGCAAGAAAATAATCAAGTTCAGAGAGCACCGAGGACCCTTCATTTCACATTTCCCTCTGTTAGGCTTATTGGGACTTATTAAAACTCACCAAGTAATGCACTATTATTCAACTTTACATTTTGATTGTCCAGCACATGAGCTGAAGCCTGGAACCAACATCGCGAACGGCCTTCAATTTGTCTATGAAATGATGATTATGCAGGACATGGAAGAGAAGCGACGGGGGCTGAACCCCACACCTGTCTCCACCACAGCCCGTCATATCATTATCCTCCTAACGGACGGTGAGCAGATCAAGGGAACGATGCAAACTCTTGAGTTCTTTTGCTTGCTCTTGTTCTGTTGCTTGAGAAAGAATTTTTAGAGTGCCTAAAAAAAGATTATAAGAGGAGCCAGCAGCCATTTCAAATATTAAGCACCCAATTTTATACAAGGGCCTCAACTTGTCTGGGAAGGGAGGGAGGGAAAGAGAGAAAGGAGGAAAGGAGAGAGGAAATGAAGAGAGAAAGGGAGGAAAGGAGGCAGGAATAAAGGGAGGAGGGAAAGGGAGGGAGGGAAAGGGAAGGAGAAAGTGGGAACGAGCAAAAGAGAAAGGGAGGGAGGGAGGAAAGGAGGTAGGAAGAAAGTAAACAGGGGAAGGAAAGGAGGGAAAGGGAGGGAGGGAGGAAAGAAGGCAGGAAGAAAGGGAGGGAGGGAGACAGGAAATGGAGGAATGAAGTAAAAGAGGCAAGAAGGAAAGGGAGGGAGAGAAAGGGAAAGAGGGAGGGAGGGAAGGAAGAAAAGAAGGAAGGAAGGAAGGAAGGAAGGAAGGAAGGAAGGAAGGAAGGAAGGAAGGAAGGAAGGAAGGAAGGAAGGAAGGAAGGAAGGAAGGAAGGAAGGAAGGACCAAAAGGCAATGAAAGGTGTTAGTGTGCCAGTGCTGTTGGAAAATGTTGGAAGTAGAATCCAGGACCAAGTAATTTTAAAAATATCCATAATGTATTTAGTCCCTTACTTCCCTCCCCTTACTCCGAAATGACAGCATGTCAGATCAGAATGACTCTTGGCAATAATCTTTCTTTTTCTAGGCAACTACAACCTGGGGGGGCCCCCATTTTTGATCATCCAACAGATAAAGGAGTTTCTTAACATTGGGAGACCTTCCGAAAACCCTCGTGATGATCATTTGGGTAAGATGGTGATCCAGGAACCCAGACAGCTTCATTTTACCTTCTTTGCATTTCACTGTCACAACCAGTTGGGGCAGAGATCGTTTTTTTGTTTTTTGTTTTTTTCATTTCCACAAATGCCAGTTGCTTATTCACCAATATACTATAAAAACTCTCGTGTATCTTTTTCTCCTGTAATCTTTAATTGGGCCAAATTAGGCATCAGTCAGCAAAGTTTTTTTTTGATGGGTCATTATCCTCCTAACTGATGGTGAGCAGGTGAAGAGGAAAAATGCAAACTTGAGTTCCTTTGGTTGCTTTTGTTCTGTTGTTGGAGAAAAGAATCTTTTAGATTTGCTACCTTAAATATATTATGAGAGGAGTTGGCAGTCATTTGAAGTATTAAGCACCAATTTACACAAGGGTCTCAACTTGTCTGGGAAGGGAGGGAGGGAAGGAAGGAGAGAGGGAGAGCAAGAGAGAAGGGGAAAGGGAGGGAGAAGGACAGGGAAAGGAAAGGAGAGAGAGAGAAAGAGAGAAGGGGAAAGGCAAAGGGAGGGAGAGAGGAAGGGAGGAAAGGAGAGAGGGAGGGGAGGGAGAGCAAGAGAGAAGGGAAAAGGAAGGGAGAAGGACAGGGAAAGGAAAGGAGAGAGAGAGAAAGAGAGAAGGGGAAAGGG